GATAACCTGTGTTTGACAGCCCAGTCTTGTAAAAATTGCTTGAATGTAAAGGATGTGAAGGGTGGCCCACCATCAGTGCTGAGTTCCTCGGGAGCACCGTAGGCTTGAAATATGTCTCGGCAAATTGAAATAATTCTTGACGCATTAACTTCTCCGTGGCTCAAGTGGTATAGATTTAGCCAGCCTGTTAACCTGTCAGCGCATGCTAAGTAACCATGGTTCCCCAACATGGAAGATGTCCATGACGATTTGCTGAAATGGCCAATCAGGAGATGGTGTCAAGTTGATTGGCTCTTTTGGTTGACTCGGGGCAATTTTTGAGCAGAACGTACAACCTGCTCTAATGTTACGTATTGAAGCATTCATCCCGGGCCAATAAACAGATTCATTGGCACGTGCCTTCATGCCAACTTCACCTTGGTGTGCAGAATGTAGGCTATGTAAGACTTTTGCGCGTTGAGAGTTGTCCCTCGACTTTGCATTGTTTAGGGCTCGCGTCTGATTTTTTATGTGTGCTTGTCGAGGGCATGTGTTGCATTGCTGTTTGGGGTAATATTGTAGTCGTCGGCTTCGGGAAGTCTTTGGACAGTATCCCTACATCAATGCAGGCTGCTTTGCTGAAGTATAGCCGCTGGATCTTTTTGCATATGTATAGGGCTTGTTTAGTTGTTCTTCCTTGGACGATGAATTCCACGGGGAGCCACCCCTGACATACGAGTGTAAAGCCTCCCACAGCTCGGACGACTTTTCTTGATGGGATGAGGTTGTTGATAGTGAGCCCCATATTCAGAAGGTGCTTAAGTCCTCCGAGACATATGGTGGCCCCACTGTCAGGAAAGATCGTCATCCTAGTGCTGTGATTTCTGGGGATATTCTTAACTTGTCTGGGATCCTGTTCACAGCGCCATGTAGAAAAATCACGTGGTAGATATAAACACTTAGTTGTGGAGCAAGCTAAGTGAACACTAATCCAACCTTTAGAAAGAGAGCTATTTATGTTGCCATAGAGCATCTCATTGTGCTAAAGTGGGATAGTCCATTGCTTGGGCTGTGATTGGCTGCTGGTACCTGAGATGAGGTATTTCTATATAAATACCAGCTTGATTCAGCTGTTAGTTTGCAGGGTTTGTATTAAGTTACAACCTGCTTCATTTTTGTCTGCCAGCTGGACGCTAGCTGGGATCTTTACACCGGTAAGTGCTGTTTATTATTGTTATTCTACAGACTGAACATGTGAGTAATGAGGAGGTGTTTTTGGAATATAGGAACTTGACGGAAACTGCTGCTAACAATCAGAAAGAGACAGCTGAAAGAAAAGTAGGAAAGAAGGCGTTGGGAAATTAAGACTCACAAGGCAAGATTGAATACAACAGAAACAAAGAATAACCTCCATCCACTTTGGAGTAAATGGAGGGAGAAACAATTATCGCAAAGGTTAAGAATGATTGTAAAGGAAGAGGACGAAAACTAAAAGCAAGAGAGAAGGTATGGAGATCCATTATCATCCTCTTCTTAAAGGGAGATTTCATCGTTTATGTGTATATATAATTTTTTGTAGTTGTAGGTCTTAATATGCGGCCTTGATTGGTACTTATGTATGCTTGCGTTTCATTAGATATTATTAATACCCTAATTTAATTTTGGCACAAGGATACAAATATAAGAGCACTCAATGAAGATCGACCCACTACTCTGTAACAACAATCAATTCAAATAGCTAACTAATCATTACCCTACGGGCTTGGATATCCCACACTAATTTCGACCTTGTGCCACATCTGACCGCGTTGGGCAGTTGGTAGTTATCCTAACCATTACCCTGTGCCTTGGAACCCGCCTAATGAATGTAATATTTACTAAACTTAGCTTGGTTTCCATTCAAGGTCATAAACATAGGGCCGCCTAGTGAGATCTGACGTCTCTACTCAGCAGTAAATGTAAACGAAACTAGATTGCTAATCATTGCCTTACGTCTCGGCGCCGATGTAATAAATGTATGTTATTATTTACTAAGCTTAACATGGTTTTAGCTCCATCTCACCAGCATGGGGGTATCCAATGAGGATCGACTTCACTACTCAGAAGTAATGGACAAGCATAATATGTTCGGTATGCATTAGTCCGTACGTCAGTGCCGACGTAATAAATATATATTCATATATTTGCGTCACGTGTGTGTGTGTGTGTGAGAGAGAGAAAAGGAGAGAAAGAGAGAATAGTAGATTGATTCTGTTTCAGTAATCCAGAGAGTTGCATATGCCAGATTATATTTTATAAGTGAATTGAGCCGACCATATGCCGACGCTTTCAATTGTTCACAAAGGAATTTTTTTCTCACTGATCTTCCACAAACGAAATAACCAATTGTTACTATCAATTCCTGTCCACTGTCACTCAGTTGAAACGTGTTTGCCTTTTAATAAAAGCTGTCAATGATGTCAGCAATGCAGTACGGTCCAGAAAATCTGAGAAAAGAACAGAAAATTATTAGTTACAGCAAGATGATCCGGTGTTGCCCGAGGAAATGCATTGTTTGTGTTCGAAACTATTTTGTTGACTATTCGTGAGTTGTTTCTTTTTTTGGCTGGGGGGGGGTTAAGCGATTCACCCCAAGCAAGGCAGGAAGCCACTAGGACGCAAGGGGTTACAGAAGATTTGGAGCAAGATCAGATAGGAGTGATAGAAGAAAGCATGAGGAGAAGGGCAGTGGATAGATCAAGGCAACTGGAAATTGACATTGCATTTGAATAGTTGGAGATTATAGCTGTCAGGGAAACTGGAATAGGGAAGGGAGTTCCACAGGCGAGAGGTGCGAGACATGAAGCTATTGGAGTAGAAGAGACGGCTACATTTAATAGTTTCAACAATGAAAGGGTGAGAGGGGGATGCCAGCCTCGTAGGGCGCTTGAATTCATGAAGTCTGGAAACCAGCGAATGCAGCTCCTCGGGGCAATTACCATGAAAGTATTTGTAAAAAAGACAGAGAGAAGCAACGGCGCGTCTGTGAGAAGTGACTGTAGACGAGATGCCAGATCAGGGCAATTATTGCATATCCACCTTTGGATCTTATCAAGAACCCTGAGGCAAACAGAAGGGGCTCCACACCATATATGGCAGCAATACTCCATGCAAGGGCGAATTGTATAGATTTTTTTTTTTGTTGTTCATTTTTACACATCGTTTCTTTTCAAGAAAGAACAGAAAGAACTCTAACTATATGAATAAAAAAATAACGAGATTCCTCATTTATAAGATGATTTTTAAAATATTGGGTAGAGATAAATTAAGAGGTCAGTCATTACATAGATACCACTTTTAATAAACTGAAATAAACCTCGAGGCTAAAAATTAAAAAATATAGTTATCATTTATTTCTTACTTGTAAACGCACTTAATATGCTGGTGATTGTCAAACACGTAAATCTACATTATACAAGAAAAATATCTCTATATATTTCTTATTGCTTTTAACGTTATATTTAGGGGATACCAAAGTTTGAGTAGTTATGCTTGTCTACCAGCCTGTGCAATCGAAAGTCTTAATGTGTTATGTCTGCATATACTATAAAGTCTAAATGAATTATGTGTGTTTATATTATATTAGTACAAGAAAAAATATAAATATATAAATAAGAATCAATAAATGAAATACAGTAAAATAAATTAATTACTTAATTAATCGCATAATTTTTGAGACCTTGTTCACAATAACCGTTACACGTGATGTCACGTCAGACTATTTCAAATTTCCAGCATTCCAAAGAATATCAGGATGTAGACAAAGGAATTCTAACTACAACAAAGACATCACATTGGTTCTTCATAATGACTGTAATGGTCGAAATACATGAACAAATAAATAATAAAATATAAACTTCGGAGGGCTTATCCACAACTTCGAACACAAAGCTCAACACGTTGGGAAATTGAAAAACTATAATAAAAAAAAACAGACAGAGCTCGTCAGTTCTTTTTAATCTCTCTCTCTCTCTCTCTCTATATATATATATATATATATATATATATATATATATATACATAACGAGAGAGAGGTTGGTAATACACATACATATATATATATATATATATATATATATATATATATATATACATGCATACAGACCCTTAAGGATGTCTGTTTTCTAAATAAATTATACATACACACATACATACACCTATATATATACATACATATATACATACATATATACATGCATACATACATATATACATGCATACATACATATATACATGCATACATACATATATATATATATATATATATATATATATATATATATATATATGCATGTATGTATGTATGTATGTATGTATTGACAGAAGCTATGAGTAATAATAAATTTAAATATCTATAGTTTCATAATGCATGAAAACCTGTATTTCAAATGTTGCCTTATGTTTGTTCATCTGTGATTCCAGAATCCAATGATGGGGAAAAAGCATTTATTTAACATAGAAATGTTTACTTTTCAACATAATATCCATGCTTGTTAGTGCACTTAATTCAATCCCTTCGACTGAATTTATGTGGTGAAAATTTCAGATTAAATTCTAGTTAATAAGTATGTCTGACGCTACCAACATATTGATCCATCATCATCTCAGTTATGTACATTTCTTTTAATTTGATAAAATTTATACTTTTTTTTTTTTTTTAATTTTCTAAACTATAAAGATTAGGTTCTTTTTAAAACTCGGAAAGAATCATTTTTTCCATTGCGCCGACAGTGACACGAATACAGAGATCGTTATCACTTGACGCTGATAAGAAATAAAATTTAACACAATTCTTTACTTTTCCCATAAAAACAAAAACCAGTTTTACGTGCTCGTAAATTGAATAAATTTAGTGGCACTTTTCTTTTTTCTTTTTGGCGTACAATTCTCTTGTATGCAAATTGAATGTCTGGACTGAAGATATTGGTAAATGGTTGTACGTTGTGTGAGAACGTACGTATTTCGACCTCAACATTTCTGACGTAATAACAACAAAATGTAAGAAAGAAAGAAAGAAAGAAAGAAAGAAAGAAAGAAAGAAAGAAAGAAAGGATGAATTGTTTGTTTGTTTGTTTAAAACTTAATGACCCATCGATCAGAAGAAACAATGAAGTAAGAACAAATGAAAATGGAAAGAAAGTAAGAAAAATGAAAGGAAAACGAAAATGGAAAGAAAGAAGTGGGAAAGAAAGAATGAAAATAGAAAGAAAGAAAAAAAAGAATGAAAGAAGTGAGCAAAAAGAAAGAAAAAGAACGAAAAAAGAACAAAAATGGACAGAAACAAAGAAAGAAAAAGAAAGAAATGCAATGAAAGAAAAATGAGAGAAAGAAAATGTAAAGAAAGAAAAATAAAAGAAAGAACGAAAATGGACAGAAAAAAAGAAAGAAAGAAAGAAAGAAAGAATAACATGAAAAACAAAGAAAGAAATGTAAGAAAGAAAGAAAGAAAGAAAGAAAGAAAGAAAGAATAACATGAAAAACAAAGAAAGAAATGTAAAGAGAAAAATGAAAGAACTAAAATGAAAAAGAAAGAAAGAAAAAGAAAAAGTAAGAACAAAATGAGAGACATACAATGACTGGAAGAAGAAATAAAGAAAAATAGAGGTGGGTTAAATGAAAAAAAGAAAAAGGCATAAAGTCAAGGATATAAGCAATAGACCAATAAGCCGCCTAACAAATTTGTGGAGACAGAATTCAAGAAATTAGTGGTCAGTTTTATTTTCTGAAACAATGCAGACAATAATGTCTGTGTGATTAATGAAAGTGAACGTCATGACTTTGGCGGCGCCTGCTTCTAACTTTGTTCTTGTCTCTTTTTAAAGAAGGTTTCTTCGTCGTCGTCAACTGAGTTTCCAAATCATTTTTACCACTAGGCCGCGTCGTAGCGTGGGAATATTTCCGATTCTTCCCACAAAATAATGAGTTTCTGAAAATACATACAAACATTGCGCATGCGTGGGTATATGAAATAATGTCACGTGTTATATTTACCAGGGTTTATGTTCTTTATTGATTGGTGGACAGTAAGGTGTGCACGCGCTCGCATGCGTGTGTGCGTGAGAGAGAGAGAGAGAGAGAGAGACAGACAGACAGACAGACAGACAGACAGACAGACATCAAAATTTAAATGATAATATTGGTGGACATTTTTAATTAAGACTTTCGATTGATTCTTTTTTTAAGTATCTTCAGACATATTATGTCGCTCTTGTGGGGGGTGGGGATCATCAACTGAAGAACAGAGAGGAGACATCTTTAGCAGGGCCGCCGAACAAGGTTAAAGAACCCCGACCTCTCCACGTGATACGGTTATAACCCGCGGGATGTCAAACTGTTGCATCAAGAGCACGGGAGAACTTGGATTAATAATATTAGTAGTAATAGTAGTAGTCGTATTAATAGTAGTAGCTCTTTATTTTCCTATGTTTTGTTTTGTCCGAGCTGCCACCAAGTATCAACAAGTGAGACCTCAAGAAACTACAAGTTATTGTATCTAAAATACTATCAAGTGAAGAGGTCAAAAAATGTCCAACATTTGCGCAAAAACTTTGAAACAAAGAATTTCACAATTTCTTTTTTAATTCCAAGAGTGAATTGAACGAAAATGGATAACATATTACTGTGTTCTTTTACTACATGAAGAGGAATTTACGTAAAATGAGAGATTCTTTTCGCCATTCACTTTCAGTTGCATATTTGTTTCTATCTTTTGATTAATATTATTATTATTATTCGTGTATGTTGTGTTTCCTGCTTTGTATCCTCTAGAGCCGGGTTCAAACTATGGTCCTTAGGCTCTATAGGAGAATTGTCATTTAATTGATAGCACTCTTCTTAGTTTATGGGATGTTCCTAGTAGGGTGATCTTCTGGGAAATATGCATGTTGATGTTATATGGGATACTGTTAGTAAAATTGTCCTTTGCTTTACTCACGAGGCCCAGAGCCCCGATTACTATTGGTACAGTCTCAGTCTTCATTCCCTCCATCCTGTTAATCTCGATCCCCATATCCTTGTATTTGGACATTATTATTATTATTTCCTTGGATTTCTGTTGTATACACTTTTCCTTCGAGTCCCAGCCAGAGACCTAAGTTCAGAAATGGAAAAGAAGAAACAACAAAAAAAAAACTAAGATGACACACTTTTTACATAGATAAAGCTCTTTGTAATGTGTGAGCGGTACTTGTGAGTACAATATTTTCTATTTCTTTAAGGCATGGACTACCAGGGATCCCTTCAATGAGTTTATCGGAACATTTTTCCAATCAATCCGACGGTAATAATGATAAGTGGAATTATCGATGTCCTCGTGTGCTACATTTGTTTAGATTTCCACTTCAAGATCCTTGCATTTTGATAATTTGTTTTTTTGAAGATCTTCAAAGATATATTACAATCTGCAGAGTCTACCACGTCAATAAGAAGGTACCCTCTGTTTTTTCTGGTCTGTGATCACAATATCTGGGCGATTAAGTTTGTTTTGTCTGTATGTAAAGTCCGATAAATATTTTAGAGGTCCTTTCTCTGTAATTAGGTCTGGGTAATGTTCATACCAATTTCTTGCGACTTCCTTTCCATAAAGATTATTATTATTATTATTTCTATTATTATTATTATAGTGGTTGGCTTTTGCTTTTTACGGTACGTGTTGTCTTCAAGTCTCAACCAGACACAAAAATTTTCTTTTATATCAGAAGATGCAAACAGATTAGATGTCATGCAATCTCGGCAAATATATAATGGTGGTGAATGCATGGATAGAAAGCTACATAAGACATGAGAATTACCAATAAGTATAGTTTTACAATTCATATACTTTAGGCCGTTCATTATTAGTAGTACTAGTAGTAGTTGTTGTTGGTTAGTAGTAGTAATAACTGGGTTTTCACACCAGTAGAAACTGGTTACATTCGTTGAATGTCAAGTGAGGATATTTCTACTAAATACTATTCTTGACTTAAATAATGCATTTATTTGAATGGTTGCTATTCTTTTTAGGATTCCCCAAGTTTTTTGGCTTCTTTGCAAGAACCTTTAGAACTGATACAAGTGCTCCATTCAAACCATTATATCTCTTATGGATACAATTGCGAACTTAATGTTCTAAAGTTTTTTAGAACCCCACGAAATTGTAAATATTTTTGTGCTTTTTCTTTTCAATTTCTGTTTGCCGTAACTACAATCCAATACGAAACACATTTTATGCGCATGAAACTGTCAGTTACAAACAATTTTATGGAATTATATATATATATATATATATATATATATATATATATATATATATATATATATATATATATATATAAAAAAAAGAACAGTAAGATATAAAATCCGGTGTTCTTATAGATATTTTTATTTTTACAAAATAGTGCTCAATGTAAATTTACAGAGCATTAATATTATAAATTAATTGATTTAAAATATGAGTTTTCATACAGTTCAAACTATGTTTCAAAAATAGAAGCTAAAAACCCCGAATTTAATTTTGCAATTAAATTAAAAGCATGAGTTCCATTTCATCTTCAAGCGAATGAAATGGAACTAATGCTTTTAATTTAATTGCAAAATTAAATTCGCGGTTTTTAGCTTCTATTTTGAAACATGGTTGAACTGTGTAACGAAAAAAAACATATTTTAAATCAATTAATTTATAATATATATATATATATATATATATATATATATATATATATATATATATAAATCTGTGTTTTGTGTGCGTATATCGTCACGTTCATTACATCAAGAGAATAATCATTTGTTTTAAATTGTTCCTTTTAATTCTTGTAATTAAAATGTGGCATCGCTTATTGATAATAGAAAGAAATATTAGACTTTGAGAATATTGTCCTGGCCCTAAGTGTTTGTTCTCGTTAGGGTCAAATTCTATTAATCCAAGAGAGCACTTGTAAAATGTCTTAAATTTTTATGAGAGAGAGAGAGAGAGAGAGAGAGAGAGAGAGAGAAAAGCGGGGGATGAATCCTAAAAAGTTAAGGTCAATAATTTTCGCAAATTTACTGCTTTCATTCACGTGTTAAACTTTATGAAAAACGAAAGTCAGTGTTAGTTTTAATTCAACGGGGAAAGAAAACACAAATAACGAAAATCCTTTCACGTTTCACAATGACCCATGGGTTTTTCCCAAACAATTTGATGAACCGGTGTCAGCAAAATCGACGATTTCAGTCTATAAATATCATTAAGTTGTGTGGATCATGTCTCTTGAGGTTTGAGTAAAATAGAATAAAAAAAAACAATAAAAATAGGAACTTTGGCTCGTCGGTGTACTATGCTGGGCTCGTCAGGAAAATTTTCAGCGATAATAGTGTAACTTGACGGCGCTCATCTCCTTTTCGTTTAATATGTGATAATTAGCATTAGATTACGTGATACCAGCTGCAAAGAATTATCCATTAACTGACGTAATAGAAATGGCTACTTGATTTCTCAAAGACCTTGAATCAATTTATTCTATGACATAGAAGTGTTCATTGATTGAATTTCTTACAGTATTAGGGTTACTCAGAATTGCCATTATTTACATTGTTCGGACTGTTGTCCTCATCTTTATTGCCATATTCACGACGTTTTAGCCTTTGTACGCTCCGGCCTTCTTCAGGTGATTGGAATTTCGAACTGAATCCTTAATTTCGTCCACCGGAGTAGATCGTTCTATGCGTCTTCCGGATGCCCCAGTTATTTCTCTGTAACTCTCCGAGTTTTTGTTCGTCACTGCTGTAGTGACAACTGTTTAGGTCAAGTTACTGGATCCAACCAACGCTTTTATCCACTGGGCCATGCGTCCTTGAGAAACGTCGTTAATATGGCAATAAAGATGTGGATAACAGTCCGCAGAATGTGAAGAATGTCAATAATTACCTCATGTCAGAAATATAGACAGATATTAGAACTGCCATATCCTCTACACTAACATGAAACAGGTTTTTACTGAGTTACATGGTAGCAGCAGCAGCAGAAGCAAGGAACAAGTATTGACGAATAGTATTATTGCAAAAGTATCCACAAGTAAATCAGTTGCAATATGTATTTAATTATAAGATCCCATAGTTTTAACCTTTAGGATACGCACGTAACGTAATGGTTATTGACACAAAAAGTGCAATGAAAGAGAGGCATTCAAATTCCAGCCTCACAAAATGTATAAATTCATCTCTTCTTCCTCTCCAAACTATTGGTTACATAGCAAGATAGACTGAACGATTAGGTATTGGTTGGCAGCCAGTCTAAGAAGAGCATAACGCTGAATTCCAAACAATGGAGAAGGCAAAGAGAAGCCACTCCGCTATGGTAAGCCATGGTAATTCACAGATAATAAAGAAAAGTAATATGTGAAGAGCCATGATCGTTTTCATCCTGAAGGGTCATAGCATACAATAAAAATACCTTTCAGTCATTCCGAATCGTTTTTTTTAATTAAAAGCAATTTCAAAAAGTGCTCAAGTTCAAATGCACAGTTTTATTCATAAATTGCTATCGTTATAAATTGTCTTGATCCAAAGATTATACCGGTAGTTTCTTTCTTGATTCCACTAAAGAAAAATTGTTTTTGTTAAAATATTTTTTCTGTAAACAGAGCAATGTTGATATGACTCTCTTCTTAGTATTGCTGCCTTAGAAACACAAAAAGTGTCTCATAAAAAAACAACTTTTTTGCATGCAACACCAAATGAACATTTTAAATGATTTCTCTTTCATGAAACCCAACTGAGCATTATTTTGTTGCTAGCCTATTATTCTAGTTATAAGCATATTTTTCTAATTAAATCTATTAAAAGTATTTCTATTCTTCAGCAAGGCGTTTTTAATATTTTATTAAGGTGTAGCATAGTACGAGACAAGGCCATCATTTTAGGCCATTAAGTGAAGATCAAGCTCACGTCAAATACTTGGAAATACTTTTAAACTGTTACTCTACAGCAAGGCATTTCTTATTTATATTTACTAAGTTTATTTTAGTCTGGCATAAGCTTATTTGCGTGGAGTACTGAGTATTAAATTACTACACGGTTGACTTGTTAGTGTATTATTATTACTTCACGGCCACGAAAAGCAAACTGGTTACATTCCATCACTGCCGTTCTGACCCTGAACTACCACCAGTCACGATGAACGAATGTCCCCTCGAGATGGCACTGTGCCTCGTGATGATATTGGGCCTCAGACTCACACTCGACCTCGAGTGAAATCCTATATACAATCCATTGCTAAAGATACAGGTAAAATGA